CCTAAACCCTAAACCCCTAAAGCGGAGCCCTAACAAAAAAAACCCGACAGGCCGGCGCTTCGGCGGTGCACGCGGGAAAGCTCAGTGGCGGCATGAAGCGGAAGCTGAGCTTAGGCCTGGTGCCTCTTTGCGCGGGGGTGGGAGTTTTTGTTGGGGTTTACAGTTCGCAGGAGGCTTCAGGTGCATTTTTGGGCGGGGGGGTCGATGGCCCCCCACCCCAATGGTGAGAACAGGCTTCGCTGTGCTTCCTGATCACCAGATCATACCGTCTGTGATGATGACGATTTTGATGATGATGATGATGATGAAGATGATGATGATGACAATGATGAAGATGAAGATGAAGGCAGTCGGTGGTACGGTGGATGTGAAACCCTGCTCCATGACCGCAACTGACTGAAGTGATCGTTTCAGATTGTGGCAAGGGGTTTCAAGGGCCAATCGTTTATGCGACTACTGGAAAACATGGTTAAGCAAAGGCTTAAGACCTAATCCCAAACCGTAGAACCGAAGCCCTACACCCTAGACCTAAAGCTACCAACCCTCAACCCTAAACCCCTAATCCTAAACCCTAAACTTTAACCCGAAACCCCATACCCCAAACTTAAACCCGAAACCCTAAACCCTAAGCTTAAGCCCTAAACCCTAAACCCTAAACCCTAAATCCAATCCTTGTGCCCTGTGCTCTCATCTGAAGGCATTGCCTTCATTGGCGGCTCCCGGCTAGTGGTGCTGGATGAGCCTACGTCTGGCCTGGTTCGGGCCCAAGATTATTTGAGGTTTAGGGTTTTAGGGTTTAGGGCCATTTACGGTTCAGGGGTTTAGGGTTTAGGGTTTAGGGTTTTAGGATTTGGGGTTTAGGGTTTAGGACCTTCGGGGGTTTAGGGTTTTGGTTGCAGGGTTTAGGGTTCAGGGTTTAGGGTTTGGGGTTGCGGTACATTTGGCTGGCTTGCGGATTTCTTCGATTCTTCGGTGCTCAAGCTGGCACTAAGTTACTTAACACAGACCCAAAGACGAAAAGATCAAGCTCTAAGTAGCCCAAAACCCAAAAACCAACCTTAAATTCGGCAAACACTAAGTCAAAAGCAGGCATCTCCAAAAACTAGACCCAAATCTAGGCTCGTAGCCCAAGCCCAGGAGCCCCTGAGCGCTTCAGGGCTCTAAGTCCTAGATGCACAGCCAGGATCCCTTCTCCCGCCGCAGCGTTTGGGAGCTTCTTCGCTCCATGAAGTCCGGGGCTCGGCATTCCAGACTCCTTCGGGTCCAAGTACTGTAATATGTGGGCCTCAATAATTACCTATATAATTTTGGGGTTCCTTATTATAATTATACTATAAAAGACCCCAAACCCTATTCTAATTTGTTGAGGCCCCTGCATTCGTAACAACAGTGGTCTTAATCATTATCATGATGTTATATCAGTAGAGTTCCTGAGGGTTCCTGAAAGGGTTCTATTTAGGGTTCTTTAGGGTTCCTTGTAACTGGATATACACGGATTCTGGTTCTTTGAAGGGATCTGGTTTCTGTTTGGCTCCTTAAAGGGATCCGTAAAGGTTTCTATAAGTACTAGAAGGGTTCTATATGGTTAGTTCTCTAAATTCGGGTCCCTTTTGTGAGGGTGCCGTACTCTAGTAGGGATCTACTGCAAAATCGGACCCTCATTTAGAGAACTACCCATATAAGGTTTTCTGGGTGATATATTCTGGTAGATTTCTATAAAATTATATAGTACTATACTATAGGACAGCTATATTCGTATATTAAAATTAGGAGCCATGATGAAGAGTTCGTAATAGTATGGAGCTCGAGGGTGAAGCTGAAGAGGCAAACGGAGATGCTTTTCGAAAGTTGGCATATCCCTAAACCCTAAACCCTATATTAAAAAACCTATTATAAGGGCCTGAACACTTCGACATACTGTTGTTATAGCATTGAACTGCTTCTAATCGTGAATATACCCCCCTCTCAAACAAAGCATTCCTTGCTCAGGTCTTACAAACTCATAAAGTCTCTCTGATTTGGGTTCATTAATCCTCCGTTCTCCTATACATCTTCTTCGAAAGAAATACAGGGGCCTTAACCAGTTGCAGCATGTTTCTGTGGTAGGTACAGTCTAATCGCACTGAGGACCCTCCACCCAGGATTATTGAGCGATTCTTCTTTCTTGCACTCATGTAGCATATACATGGGCCCTAAAGTACCTATATAGGGACTACATTAAGGCCAATGTATATACTTTATGATCACATGGACCCTCAGGGTTCTCTATGAGGCATCCTCAATCGGAGAGCTCGGAGTCCCCAAAATGCGGTTTAGGGTCGAAGGTTTAGGGTTTAAGGTTTAGGGTCTAAGGTTTGGGGATTATATAGGGTGTTCCCTAAACCCCAAAATCCTAAACTCAGGAGTGTTTCGAGTCCTTAAGGGGCTTTTCAGACTCAGGATTTCGATTGTGGGCCCCGGGTCCACAGCCGAAAGCCTTACTCAAGGGATCACGGGACCTCAAGATATGAATTAATCAGGGGTATGCACACGGTAACTAAATCGGTTACTTGTAACCGACCTTAGTAAGCCTACAAAACCCGAAAGCATTTGAAAACCCTATAGAATCCCAACCTTATTATAGAACCCTGTAAAGCCCCAAAACCTTGCTGGCGACCTCACGGGTCCTCCAAGCGAGAGCCCATGTCAGTAGTTGCTTTGTCCTTGCCTCTGCCAGGCACGGTCGAGTCACAGCGACTTTGCAGCACACAGGGAAACGGCTGGATGAGTACTCCATAAGCCCACGCCCTACAAGCCTAATTGCGGAAGTAAGCCCGACACCCAACACAACCCCAAAGTTTCAGGTGTCCCCTGGAGGAATTCTGGGTACTCCTCTGGATTTGTAAACACGAAGCTCTGGTCGACATCGACCACACGGTAAATTTTGGTTTGAGACTTTGTAGAGAGGTCGGCCATCGCGAATCGAAGGCTGTCAACCTGAAGGGCTGAAGCCAGGGTCCAGAGTTTGGGTTTAGGGATGATGTAGGGGCCTTAATAATTAGAATAGGGTTTTGGGGGTTTCTGTCTTAACTATAGTACAATATATCCCAAACACTATTCGAATTCTTAAGGCGCCTATGTTATAGAAGCCTGAAGAGGATACATCGTAACCGTCGTTTACGACAATGCACTCCCCAACTCTTGTCTGATCCTTTCGGCCCCTCTATTAGATTCACAGGGCCTGTGGTTGAATCTTTTGTGTTCACCAAAACCCCTCTCCCACCCGCCAAAATTTCGTAAGAATCGTGGAATGTAACTTGCAGGGCAGCTGGGGTGCTCAGGATAAAAATCCAGAACATTGTGCTTCGCCAGCATGCTGAAGTGGCTGGGGCCCAGTACGCTCGCTCAAAAGCCAAACCCGACACACCAGCCCGGATCCCCAACACGCAGCCGTCCCCTAAACCAATACAGTACAGTGGCTTTAGGGTTTAGGGTTTAGGGTGTAGGGTTAGGGTGCTAAACCAAATACAGTGGCCTGGCACAACTGTCGTCTCATACACCACAAGGATACCCAGTTCTGATCAACCCTAAACCCCTAAACCCCTAAACCCTGAAAACCCTCCATCCTTAGCCCTGACATCTGAACCCCAAACTCCGGAAGGACGAGTTGAATCCCAACACGGTTTCGGGTTTAGGGTTTAGGGTTTAGGGTTTAGGGTTTAGGGTTTAGGGTTTAGGTTCAGGGTTTAGGGTTTAGGGAACACGCTGAAGTGGCAAACTCTAAGCCTTAAGCTGAGCCGCAGGTGCTGTCCACGCACTACATGGACGAGGTGAGCTGAAGGGAACATGGGACCCAGTAGTTTAGGGTTTAGGGTTTAGGGTTTAGGGTTTAGTTCATGTTAAGACACTGCATGCACAAGGTAGCTTTCGTTAGTCAAAGAAAGTTTTAAAGAATAATATAGTAGAATCAATTAAAGGTACCTCTAGCCCCGACTGCAGATGTTCTGGAAGCTTATCGGGTTTGGGGATCCGGGGGCTGTACTGCACTGAGCTTGTTTTGCTGTTTTGTCATTGTCAGTCTTATCGGCAGTTGCTTATCAGTTATTTTAAGTATTTCTACTCTACTCTTATTGTTATTGTTGCTGCTCCCCGTGCTGTTGCTGCCGCGACACAAGAAATGTTATTCTATACATATACATATATGCCTATCTACTTAACTATCTATCTATCTATCTACCTACCTACCTACCTACCTACCTACCTACCTACCTACCTACCTACCTACCTACCTACCTACCTATCTGCCTATCTGCCTACCTATCTGTCGATCTATCTATCTTTCTATCTATCTACCTATCTATCTTTCTATCTATCTGTCCATCTATCTATGTCTCTCTCTCGCTCGCTCTGCGGTTATTTTAAAAACGATGTTCTCTATCAACCCCTGGCCCGCAAATCTGGAGTCACGGCTGTCTAAACACCCCACCCAAACCCGATAGCAATCCTACATTCTAAGGCAAACCGGTTCCTGAATTTTGGGGTTTAGGCGTGTTTAGGGTTTAGAATTGTAGAAGCATCCCTGAACCCTTAGTTTTGGTTTACGGTTCAAGGGGTCCGCGTCGTACGGCCGCGGTCTCCGGGCGACACGATGCACTTCGCGCATGTCCTCTGTGCTGTAGTCTGATTCGGCATTACGAACTGGTTGTATATCTCTGCATGCAGATATATCGGGGCCCGACAGATTTGATCTAGTATTCCCCTATCGTTCCCCCAATCGAAACTAAACCGTTCACCCCAAAACTCTACTCTAACCATGTAGGCCCCTGTGCATGCTACTACTCTTTCCACTCTTTCGGGCATAGGGTCGATTCGACGCAGCCCTTTGGGTTGCAAATTAATTAAGAAAGGTGAAACAAGTCAGCCGAGTCGTCAGACTGTCCTGCCCAAATGGCGACAGAGCCCTCTTGCCTAATGTGGTGGACACCCGGTATGCGGAGAAGAGCCTCTATGTCCGCGTTTCCGTAGTCCGGAACCCTTAGGAGGGCACGGATGCCCTGAGTCCAAAGGCGTACTGCAAGACGGGAAATGTCACCGGCAAGGCGAATCGATTGGGCAACGATATTTGCCTTCTTCGCAGGGACGATGTCTGCCGGTAGAGGGATTCTAAGTCCAAGAAGGTCCAGATAAAATCCACATCCTCTATCGACTTCCTCGAGAAAGTCTGGAAGAACGCCGGAATCTAAACCTCTCAGAGAATCCTCGTGGCTGTAAAGCAAGGGAGCACGGCCATAGGCTTCCAGAACGCGGGAGTCAGGAAGAGAGCCAACTGCGACAAGTACATGATCCCTTGTCCAGGCATCGGGGCACGGCAGGCGGACCAAGAGCATGTCAGCGTCACAGAGGTGACCCACAGTCGGGCAGGGAGCAGGGTCTTCGCACAGATCGGGAACAAGTACACTGACAAGGTCGGTTCCCCGTAACCATTCTAACGCGTGTCTTAACCGAGTCAAGAGGCCATGGGATTGGCTCAGCGTCTGCATGCCCCCTCCGAACTCCCACACGTCAAGAGTGACCCGAAGTCTTTGGACAGGGAGGCACACGCAAGAAAGTGAGGCTCTAATGCGGTCCCACATTTCTTCCTCGGAAATGGCCGCAAGTCTGCCGTCGAAGTCCATTTGGGCTAGACAATCCAGTACCTCGGCGGAAGGCCTGCACATCTCATCGTCAAGGTGGCCATCCGGGGCCTGAAGGCAAGGGCCCTCAGCCTGGAGAGTCGGGGCGCAGAAAAGGTGTTCTTTCGGCGCAGTGCGGCTGCCAACTCCAGGCGCTGGTTGCACTCTTTTCCCTCGGCTCAAAAGGAAACGTCTGCATGATGCAGAGTGTCGTATATGTCGGCAGAGGCGTACTGTAGTAGCGTAGTGACGCATACAGTGGGGGCACTGGTTGCCCTCGACAAGCGAACGCACCTCATCCTTGCGTCCGTGACACTTGAACGCATGTACGGACCACGCACGTAGATCCTGAAAGGCAAGCTGGCAAGGTGCGCATACCTGCTGACAACCTCGGCTGCGTGACGGGGGCAGTCTGAATCGAGCGCCAAGACGGCAGAGTTGCTTCGTGAGCAACCAAATGTGCCTCTCCTGCACAGCTTGCCTGGCTTCTCTGTCAAGGGCCGCCTGCATGGCTCTGCGAACCCTGGCCTTCCATTTCCCTGGGGAACTTCGGCATTCGGCAACCCAACATTGCCAAGAGGAAGGGAAATCCAACTCCTTGCCGGAATTTCGTGACAGTTCCCAAAGCCATTGGACGGAAGATCGGACAAGCGCTAACCAGCCTTGTTCCCAGTGAGCTAATGCCCAAATTTCCTGTACATCAAGGCGAATGCAGGAAAGCAGGTACCTTAGCCTGGAGACGTGCAAGTAAGTGCTTGCTCTTGGGATGTGTGCCGCAGCAATTGCCTGGGCCGTGCCGAGGTGCCAGGCCTCCTCACATGTGTACCTCGGCGTGAGCATCTGGCACGCCATCTGCCGTAGTACTGCATCAATTGAGTCAATATGCGCCGACGTGACTCCAGTCCATGTCCCGGCGCCATGGAAAAGCACCGTGGACACCAGACTGTCAAAGAGCAATGCCTTATCGGTATCAGATACCAGGGTTGATCTGAAGACTTTTTTGCGTCGGCGGTTGAAGGCTTCCCATGCCTGTGCGCATCGAAAGGAGATCTCATGCCTAAGACCCCCATTGTGTTGCAGGAAGCCGCCCAGATGCTTGTAAACCGGCACTACACGAAGTCTAGCTCCATCCCATAATCTACAAGACAAGGGGATCTCACCCTGTGCATCGCCAAAGATCTGTTTACGTGTACCCTTGGCACCCTTGCCGTGTAGCTGCATGATCGCCTCAGTCTTTCCCTTGGCAAGGTTGGGGACCAGGGCACGCTGTAGGCAGGCATCTATAAGCGACGAAGCACCGAAATCCAGTGCTCGGACAAGCGAGGGTGCATCTGGGGCGGTTAGGAACATCGAGAGATCATCCATCCAAGTCGAGTCAGACAGGCCAATCTCCTGAGTCGTTGGGTGTTCCATTGGCTCTAGGCGACAGTGCATCTCCCGGCTCCACGGGATGCGAGCAAGGAGTGCTGAATCAATCAGGGCGCCCCTAACCTGCCTCAGAACCTTTGCGAAAAGGAACGAAAAGACAAGGTCGGACAGGGAATCCCCGGGACGGGACCCCGTCCTAGTCACAACAACTTCCGGCTCATCAGGCAATCTGAACCATGTGTCTTGTAGTGACTCAGCGACAGCGCCATCTGCCCACTCACTTGATCCGGCCTCTTTAGCCAGCGAAGGGCCGCCAAGAAAGGCATGCAACTCATGCATCGTATTGGGGGGGAGCTGCACTGCCGAGCATAGTCGCGCAACCTCCTCGTCGCTGGGCCTATCCCCTGTGATGAGGGGGCGTACGATTCGGTAGAAGGCCTCCTGGAGGTCCAGGAACAATAAGGAGTGTGACAGCTTCCTGGAGTGGCAGGCGGACTGAAAGAGGCGTGCGGCGTGAGCCGGCATTGTCACGGGGTACTGTGGTAGTCCCCCCACTTGGAGCGGCACTGCACTCTGAGCTAGGGCACTGGTGCATCGGCGACGTACAGTCTTATGGAGGGCTTTTCCAAGGACCGACGAAACTAAGATACCCCTATATGAGTTGCAAGACTGTTTTGGCCCCTTGTGTTTCCAGATGAAGTACAACGTCCCCCCCTTGTGTTGTATGGGCTCACAAAGGCGAAAGGCCGATTTCAACAGAAGCTGGTAGGCGACTTTGGACAGGAAGGGAGCGCCGTAATGAAGCACTTCCCCCGGGATCCCATCGAGCCCGTACGCTCGTTCTGTGTTTGCCGCCCGAAGCGTAGCTTCGAGCTCCACAAGATTCGGCACATCATCAGGCGACACCGAATATCCAGAAAGATCCTTCTCTTCCTGGCGTCGGTAACACGCATGGACAAAAGCAACAGGATCTGTGACATGGCCATCTTCAATGGCAGAGAAGTGAGAAATCCACTTCTCTTTGGATTCCTGATGTGTGAGTGCCAAGCGACCGGGAGAGACTTCAATGGAAGGCAAAGGGGAGGGACCCCGTTGCTTTCGTTTGGGGCCACCTGTCAGGGCTCTTAGTTTCTGCACCGTATCCTTGGTGGTCGCCGAAGTGGCCTGGACCGCTACCTCGTGGATGTAGGCCTGGGTGTCCTCTCTGATGCGGACTCTCAACTGTTTGCTGGTGGCCCGCAACGCAGTTAAGTGCCCTGGCAGTTCCCGGAGGCTCCGTAGCCACCTGCTCCACAACCTATGGCACGGCTGCCACAATCGGCAAGAACATTTCCAGGAACGCAGGGCGAAAATAATCGAGAACTGCTTGCCGAAATGAGAAGCCGAGTGAACACGTTTGCGTAACCAAGCACGCTGGTTTCGCAGTTGCCATGTTTCCGGCTGGAAGTATGATCTACGCTGCTGCGTGCGCTGCGCTGGGAAGGCCAAAGGCAATGTGCGGCGGAAATGGTTTTCGATGTAAGCGGCGTGTCGATGGACGTCAAGAGCCCAGGGTTGTGGCTCCAATGCCTGGCACAACTTCTTTATCTTCTCCTTCCCCTCAACAGTTCCCATAGCTTGTGTGTTTAGCCTCATCCTTCGACCTGTTCGCGGTGCCTCCATGCAGAGGCTGGCACTGGTTCGCATCCACAGAGCGAAATGGTCTATCCTAGCCTGCCCCCATTCGAGCTCATGAAGTACAGCGCTGTGACCGGTGGCCACTTGCCATGTTGTGGGAACTGCTATATAGTCGAGTCTTGACTCCGTGGTCCCTCCCGGAGATTGCCAAGTCGCTGACGGCCCCGGATGGCAGCAGGAGAATGTGCTGGGTATCCACAACTCTGAATCCTCGAGCAGTGTCCAGAAAGCCTGTGGAGGCGGTGTGGCAGTATGCCACGTGAGGTCTCCGACGCGGCCCTCTTGGCTGTGGTGCAGGTGCAAGTTGAAATCCCCCATAAGTACAACTTGCGCCCCTTGGCGCAGCCTTCCAATCAATAGGCGGAAATTCTGCCACCACTGATTGCGTTCCGGCGAAGAGTTGGTTGGCGCGTGAAGGGCTACAAAGAGAATGCGCATTCGTGCGCGTGCAAATCGGACAGCGATGACCCTCGGATCCCAGTGAACCACAAGGAAGTCTCCCACCTGAAAGAATACCTCAGCGGAGGAATGCTTGACAAAGGGAATTTCCTTAGAGAACCAAATCTCAGTGCCGTAGGACCCCTGATGGTCACATGCGCTGCAAAACCTCAGGTGTGTGCGGGACTGAATTGTTTCATTGCGAGGAGCTCTCGTCTCCTGCAAGGCGGCAACGCATACTCCCCTGTCGGCAAACTGTTCCCTAAGCAAGGCCGCTCTGCCACGAAAGGGGGGGAGGGCATGGTCAGACTCTGACGGGTCCTCTCCAGGATGAAGTGACTGAACATTTACTGTCAGTAGAACCGCCGTCAGGGCAGCACACAGAGGACCTCGTTGCGGGTCCTGCTTTCGCGAGTTGTGTAAACCCAGCATGCTCTCGCACTCTTGAGTTGTCGGGAGCGGAGCGGGGTTTCCCCTTTGGTCAATAAACGAGTCTGCAAGCTGGGTGGGCCAGGCTTGTGGACACTTGACCGTGTCAACGAACAGCCACAACCAAGGCAGCCACTGATGACGCAGAAAGGGTGTGATAGGGTGCGAAGCCCAGGCCGTGCCCGGTGAGGAGTCTCGACAGCACGCTTTGGCGAGTTGATCGGCAATCTCGTTGCCGGCATGTCCGACGTGGGACTTCATATGCTGGACCGCAATTCTGTCGCAATCTCCTCGGGCCTGGAGGGCCTGCATAACCGCCCGACAGTGGCAGCTGATGTCGGTGCCTCGGTATTGCCCTGCACACCCTTCGGACAGTCCTATGGCTGTTGTGCAATCAGAGTGAATGAGGATCTGAACTCCTGGAGGCAGAGACAACAACCAGCTGAGGCACCAAAATAGTGCCGACAGCTCTCCGTTAAGGGCCCCATGAGAGGCCGCACCAAGGAAGGTGGCTTGTGTGTCGTCCGTCTGAACGGTATCTCCTGCCCATCCCAGGCTGCACCATGTGTCAGTCCGGCGGCCTATGACATGGAAGGCCCAGGAACTAGTGCGACCATCAAAGGAACCATCGGTGTAGACAATAACCTGCTCGAAGTGCCCAGCAACGGTATGCCAACTAGAGTACGGATAGTCCGAGCACCATGTTCGGAGAGTCTCGGACCCACCATCCGGCAGGGGCCATAGCCAGTTTTGATCGTGGTTCAAGAGTCTCGCAACCTGGTCGAGTGTGCAACCTATCCTGAGTTGGGCACCAGTCAAATCAAAGGTTCTAGTCCCGACGCACTGTGCCAGGCGCAGGATGTTGCGCGGTCCCTGGGCGGTAGGGAGGCTGCTCTTGAGGGTTCCGCGTTCTTCACAGGACCCCCGCGAGGCAGGAACATTGGCGTATGCATGGTGCGTGGCCTGTCGGTCTCCTTGGGATACAGATTCCTCAAGCAAGGTAGTGAGAGTTTCGATCTCGCATGTGTAGCCTGTGGCCTCGGATCGGGCGGTGGTGATGCTGCGTGCCCTGGCCGGAGTAGGGATGAGACGACCCCCTGAACGAAGTGTTGCTTTCTGGCGCGGCACCATGATGGGGAGCTCAATCTCTGGTCTGTGCAATGGCCTCGGCATGGCCGCGGATAAATGCACAGCCTCAACCCATTCGAAACAATTGGCAGTGACGAGAGCTATACAAACCCAAGTGTGTAGTCCTTTACGAAGGCCAAGCGCATGCCCAATCAAAAGGCAAGTCAGAACCCTTGCAACCGCCTGGGAGCACCCAACCTGACCAAAAGCCTTGAGACCTAGACAAAGGCCGGCACACGCAATAATGGCCCAGGCTGCGGAACGAATAACCCAGGCACCTGGCGGCATGGCATGAGGTGAGTCCTTACGCCTGGCAGCACGCCTGCTGCTGTGTGCATGTGTTGCTGACGTTCTACGCTGAGGGTTTGGAGCAGCGGCACGGTGCCTGGAACCACCGGTGCCGGCGTCATTGCTAGACGCGACTGATGGAGGAGCGCTGTGAGTGGCACTGTCACGTCCTGAGCTACCGCGGTCCTCACTGGGATCGTGTATGAAGGTCGGGGCGTCATCCGGGTAACGTATGGCAAGGAGGTAGTTGGGCTGGTACTCGACTCTAACAACTTCCCCTGTCCTTACTTTGCGGTGGTGATTCCCCCGATCATTATCATAATCTCCGCCGTAGAGCCTCACATGATGCCCATGTGGGCATCTCACCGCCATCCTGGTACACAATGACAGGACATCGAGGTGTCCGTCAACTGCATACGCCCATGACAGTCTCAGGAGTATGGGCCGCAGATCCAAAATGTACGGGACAAGGTTATCTCCGGCATTCGGGCGGTAGACATCGGTGGTACAAGCAACGAGAACATGTTCTGTGTACTGACCACTGCTGGCATGATCTATAATGTCTGGCGAAGCAGGGACAAGAACAAAACCGCCGTCCGGTAAGCCCAGGGTTGCGGCCGCTTCTGGGCTGCTGGCAGCGAAAGTATCTCTGTCAACAGGGACCGCATTGTGTCGTCCATCTGTGAGGATCCAGCTGGTTCCGTCTCTATCCCCATGTAGGCTGGGCGCACAGTTCCATGAGTGCTGCGATTGGAGGTGGTGCCCGAAATCTAAGAGCCTCGGAACCCTCTGTCCCTCAAAGCAGATCTGTATCAAGTCTCCCTCTTCCGGAAAGAAGACGTGTGCAGGTTGGAGCGGCCATGGTACATCCTTGACAAAGACCTCTGGGACTACAGAAAGGTGATCCTCTTCGATGCCCGCAAGCCGCAAGATGGACTCCCTGCTGCATTCATGTGGGATGATAACTGCGAAGATCCCTGGATTGCTGAAGCGATTGTCAATCAGTACTGCAACCCCTGGAAAAGCCCATCTGGGGACTGCGATCACACAGGCTTGCTCCACAAGAGGTTGTGGAAAAACCGGCACTAACCGCGGGCTCCTTCGATGGTCTGTAGCTCTGCGGGTCTGCGCGAGTATGGCTAATGCTTCGTCAGCCGAAAACGGCAGTGCCAGCCTACAGATAGTCAGCTCCGGCCAGTACTCCTGAGCGAAGGTCAGAAACGGAATCGCAAGGAGGCCGCTCTCTGAGGTCCCTACTTGGGTTGAGCCCCCGCTTTGGGCAATCCCGGGCGATGTCCCATGTGAAAGGGACGGGGTGTCGTCATCACCTGTTGTTCTCTCAGAGGTGGGACCCTGGTGGGATGAGGAGCCCTCCGCTGCAATGCCAGAGATGGCCGCGGCATCCTGTCTGACAAAGGTGACAGTAAGAACCTGTCCTGGAAAGACACGGCAGGTTTCATGTTCATCAAAAAGCACATCGACACGTACACTCCATCCTCGCGGTGGCAGGGGGTGGATGCGCGTGATCAGAGCTGACAGCTGCACTGATCCGTTCCGGGCTGTCACAACCTTGATACCTTGGAAAATGCGTCTACAGTCGGCAAGCACAAGCGTCGGCCATCCTTGGGGTTCCACAGCAGGTCCGTTGCTGACTGCCAGCACAGTCTCACAGGCTACACCTTTGAGAGCAACATCAGCAATGCGCGGTTGCGCGGCTTGCAAACGCAGTTGGTCAATGCTGATGCCGGTTGCGTCTGCAAGGCCACGGCGATACAAGATGGGATGCTCGGTATCATCTAGATGGAGCTGGGAGCCCCACTCACCCGCAAGGCAGTACGCTTCTACATTATCTGCAGGGGCCCGGAAGGTGAAAGAGGCTTCTGCCCATCCAGCAGACATAAGAAGCGCTTCCCCAAGAGTCTGTCGGTGCGGCACATTCGCACCAGCAGGCATCAGCATGATGAGCGAACCTGGAAAGATGTGAGTGGGAATCTCATTACTCAGCGCTTCAGTATCCCTGCCTATGCAAACCTGCACCTCTTCGACGGAGGCGTCTGCAAGTGCAATGAGTTCCTGTCGGGCGGCATAGTCAGGCGCGAAGATCGCATAGATGCTGCCGCCTATTCTCGTTGCGTCCAAACACTGAGCTGGCTGAGAATCCGCCCAGTCCGCACAGGCTACATAGAAGGCATATCCCGCGATGGGCTGTGGGACGACGGCATGTATAAAAGGAAATGCCTCCCTCTTGAATTGAAGCCTCGCAACTTGTACAGCAGTTTCGGCTTCAATGGGGGTGGCAGGGCAAGGAAGAAAAGTCCATACGACTTCAGGAGCATATTCTGGAGCCAGAATGACAGCGCAGATTTGTACAACTGCTTCATCTGTGTCAGAAGATGCGGAACTTTGTGTTGCCTCGCCTAGTTCGACCTGTGCAGGTACCTCTGTAGGAAAGGCGCGCAACCACCTGTCGCCTAAGAGTTGGGTGATCTCACGCAGCCCCTCAAGCCGGCAGCGCGCTTGTCTGTTCTGGCTTTCTGGCTCCTCGAGGATTCTGTCAACGGGCATCTTCTCATAAATAAGTGACTCAATGTGCTCCGCATGTGCGATGCTGAAGGAACAACGGGGGCCCTTTTTGCGAAAAAGGCCGGCTGTCCCACAATTACACATCACAAGCTGGAGGCACACGCTACGAAAACAAGCCGCTGACCAAAGCAGACTCAACTGGCAAATCCTTTCGGACCACAAGTCTCTCCCACCATCCCAAGGTGGAGTTGCAGTCTGACCACCTTGGGCCACAGAATGCAGCTCGGGAACACGATCTTTGCCACTTTCTGCGGGATGGTCTGGGGCACAGTTAGCAACATCATCAGGCCTAGTGGAAAGGCAATCCCTCCCCGAGGCATCGTCACAAGAGTTCGTTCGTGCAGGTCCGCACGCATTACTTTCTGTCCCATGATTGTCGATATCGGCCCCTGGTGAATGTGATGTGTTCTCATCATCACTTGGGGCGCCCCCAGATGGTACGCATTCGAGATTTGTGGGGGAGCTCGAAGGCTGCGACGGAGGCGAATTGAGTCGAAATCCAAGCACAAAGACGTCCCCATCACGAGAGGTGGCTTGCGGGTCCCGCCGAGAGCAAGCGAAAACAATATGGTGCATCGGCGGCGGGGTCAACCCCAGCCAATCAGCAAAGCGCAAGGGATCATCTTCGTCCTCAAGATAGAAAGTGTCTATCCCACAATTTGCGGGGCGGCCGTCAATAAATATAAGTCTGCCCTGGCGCTCTGGGGAGGGGGTGAGGGGGTACACGGCAAGTACCTCCCGACAGTCACATCCACCAATGCAGACATCTCCAAGGAAAGCATTCCTGGCACAAACGAACAGAGTCTCGGTCGGGGCCCTCTGAACCAGATCAGCAACGCGGGCTGATAACGGAACACTAGGTGATTGGCTCATTGTCAAGAGGGTGTGGCTGCCTCCGTGCAGGGCAAGGAGGACATCCTCAGACCGTGACCTGGGGACTGGGGGATCGCCAATCCATGGTACAGGTCGACTAAACCTATCCGCAAGTGAACCAAACCATCCCGGGCGTGAATCAATAGGACGGAATTGCACCACCCAACCATGAGATACGTAGAAGTCTTGACCAGCAGGCTGTGGGTGCTCGGCTCCTGCAACATAAATGCTGAAGGGCCTGTTGCCATGTCTTAGGGCCTCTTGTTGGCATTCCCAAAAGGTCACGAGGCCAGGCATGACTTTCGCGAAAATGGGTCCGCCAATGGCATGAAGGTCAAAGACAACCGTGCATCTGCCATCCGGCTCCTGCCATGTAGGGATCAAGACAAGCGATCCGAAGTCTCGTCCTATTTGCGGTCGTGTTGGGATCAACTTCTTAAAGAACGGTGGGAGCCTCGGCTTTAGCATCCTGAGAACCTCCCTAAGAGCATCACTTTCGAGGCAAGGTAGGTGAAGTGCAAACCGTTGTTCAATGCTCTTGTATCCTGGCACGAATACCTGAAAGGTGCATTGAGTAGAAATCGGTTCTTCTGCTGACATGACGCCGACTTCCTGTTCTGCACCGTGGGAGTATTGAGTGACAACAGGCGAAACATGGAGAGCCTCCTCAAGTCCATTGACTCTGGCGATCGGCATGCATGCAGTGCCCGCCTGGACCTGCGTTGCCGCTGAGGCCGAGTGACTTTCCACGGGACCTGACGGAGATCGTGATGGTCCTTCAGGCTGGTCTGCTTCTGCAGGGTAGTGTCTCCTTGGGGAACGGCTGCGGGACTGACTAGGTTCCGTATGTCGTTCTGATCCATCCGAAGAGCTTGACTGGGGGGATTCGTCCATATCGGCACTCCCCTCGGATAGGGCATTGGACGCTATTCTGGAACCAATGCTGAAGTCGCTGTCAGGAAGCGCCCTGAAGGCAAGAACCTCCCCTGACTTGACCTCTATGTAGTATCCGGTGCAGGTCTTCCCTATTACTTCAATGTCGACAAGGGTCGGGAGATCCCTTTCGTGTGCCCGGAGGACAGTCGGCAGATGAAGTTTACGGCCATACTGGAGCCAGCCAAAAGGCCTCACACCTAACGGCCGGAAGTCTAAGAAGACGAAACACTGTCCCTCGTCGTCCTCGGTTGAATGGGGGCATTCAAATTCTGTGACATCAGTCAACATGGCAAGGCCCCGGCAATTGCGGCCGTGTACGCACAGATCTAGCATCGGCGGATGGTCCGCGCACACGAGCTGGGTGG